AATATGATTTTAAATATTAATATACCGTTCATCCCTAAGTTAAAACTGAAAAGAAGCGATCAAAGAGCGACAAATTGGATGTTCGATTCTAAGTTAATTTCTAACGGAGCTATAAAAAACAATGCCTTTTATAACTGTCGCTTCTTGTGCGGTCCCTGTTAAAGTCTTTGTAAGTTTATCTAGTAAACTAATACGAATTAGCTTAGTTTAAGTAAAGCTGAAGGTATCCACTCATTTATAGAAAAGAATTGTATTAAGTCAAGCTATTATGAACGCATATTTTTATTTACTCAAAAATAGATATGCATTAAAAATTTATTATTTGCTTGACACACATAAAGACTAAATTACATTTTAATCTTAAGTTATTGCCAGAGAAAGAGTAAATAAGCAATTTTAAATTGACGTCTCAATTAAGATGACAAACCTAACCAAATGGTACCACAGCACATGCGAAGAAAATATATAACAGTCAAAGAACCTACATTCTCCTTTAGAGTAAGTAAGTTCTGCTTCACAAGCGTATACATTCACAAATGTTTAATCTTTTTGTCAGGCTGTGACACTTCTAGTAGTTGGGATACTCATCGTCAAGCCTGCGTATGCGTTGATAATTTTCGAGGCCGGGAAAATGCCGATCTCGTCGAAATCGCTGATACCCGCCATCGAGTCCAAAAAACTTTGCATAATTTCGCTTCACAGCACTAAATTTCTCATCTTGCCGCAACGGACCGACATCTTCAGTGAATTTCGACCTCATGGGGACACTTTTGCCAAGGGTAGATGAGGTCAGATTGAGTGTTACAATGAGAAGAAAGCCAAGAAGACAATAGAAGCGCATCATATTAAGAAGCCCAAAAACACAAAAATTGACAACTGCTCACCTTGCTATGAATCTTGCCAGGCAAGAACTAAATAAGGATACTCTGATTGGGAATAACCTTAGGCCGAGCTTCAGGCTTGTCTTGGCTGCCTCAAAACTTACAGTGATTGGTGGACAAAATGGGACAAAATCCTGGCCAATCATTTTGTTAAGGGCACTCACTTTACTGAGTACCGAAGGAATCTCAGCAATAAATAATATTCTAATGCCGCCTTTAAAGCACATGCTTTAAGACAAGATTTTAAATAAAATCTTGAATTTGAAATGGGTTGACCTCGTTGGCGCAACTTGGTCTTGTTGTCAGAACGCACCTAGTCCGAAGTCGTCTGCCATAGTAGTTGTCATGATACATTCTCAAACGTTTCTTTTGTATCAAGTCCACTGTCAGATGCTGAAAATCATGACAACTAGTATGGCAAACGACTTCGGACTAGGTGCGTTCTACATAGTCCTCTTGACAACAAGACCAAGTTGCGACAATGAGATCAACCCACTTCTATAAATCGAAAGGAGACTGCGACCATAATCGAGGCGAAAAGATCTTGGTCTTTATATATTCTTGGACATGAAACTTGGATAACCTGAAAACGATTAAGCTTTGCTTTGGCTTTGAGGTGTTTAATTTGGACTGAAGCGCAGCCCTTAGAAAAACATTACAAATATTTGTAAATGGAAATTATTATGAGTACAATTGCTATCCTTGCTAGCCAAGTGATCATCTTTGTTTCACATTTTATTGAAATAGGCCAAACACTTTATGCTATGTAGAGTTTTTTAATGTTTCACTTGTTATTTATCAGAATAAGATCCGATGTCTATGGAGACTTATCAAAATTGAAAGCAAAATTCCGTCTTAGTTATGTGTACTAAACTTGTAGGTGTCTGGTGGAGTATTAACGTATTGCAAGGATTCACTGGCCTACTCATCACATTTTTGGGAACTTTTATTGTCAGTCCTTAAATAATAATTATTAGCCCTAGAATAATAGACAACTTATGAGAACCTTTTGTATATGGTTTTCGTACCTGGCCTACCGTTAATATATGAATTACTATCTTACAGGGAAATAGTCCAGATAATAGGTTTCGTTAAGTCGAGCATAGTTGAATAATTGCCTACACTAACCTGATAATATATGCTATGCAATTTCATCTACATAATGGGAATTCTAAAGGAAAGAGTCTCTTATGATATGAGCATATGGCTTAGTGGTTTACTACTTTCGTCATAGAATTAGCTTCAATAGATAAAGACTGAAGGAATATTTTGGGGTGAATTTAAAATGTCATAACGTAGTTTGAAATATTTCAATATCCATTTACCAGCTCGCAGGCCTATTAGGGTATACTTAAAAA